AGGCACCTGTCTCCGGGTGAACTATTCAATTCAATTCCACAGTTATCAACGAACGCTTTTCATTCCACTAATTTATTCGTGTTTTTCTCATTGCCATGTTCCCACCAATCACGTAGCTCCTTTTTCTGCCTTTAAAAGCACACACAACCCACAATTCCTCTATTCGCGCCGACGATGGGCTAACGCTCAAAACGTCGTAACGGTGGCCAATTTACCATTTCAACTTTGTTGATATATTCAAATTATTAAATCCAATAGTTAACATCTTTAAAACTCTGTTACGCAGTCTGATTGCAACTGAACTTCTGTCCAATTTGACATGAAAAAATGCCTTCAGCTGCTAAATAGGGATTTAAAATACTGAAGCAGAATTTGTTCTTTAATAAGTTACACATATGTCATTCTACATAAAGGTATCTTGGCCACTGAAAGTTTGAAAAGTCTGGCTATGTTCAGTTGAGTTGCCACGATACAAACCCACAGGAGGAGGGTAATTTGAAGATGAACAATGGTAGACAAGACGGGAAACATTTTGTAAATAACAATATTAAATAATATTTTGTTGATGAGGACACCGTCATAAAGTGAAAACACTGAAAAAGACTGTAGTCCAGCAGCTGACTTTGTTCTTCTTCAGTTTATCATGAGAATCTAAAGAAAGGCATGTTGCAGTTTCAAATCTTACCTCAAATGAAGGAAACTGTTTGACATAGGTCCTTGCCTCAGTGATTGCCAGCTGATACTGACTTGAATAAGTGGCTGATAAGATTGCTGATGCCCTTGAATAACTGATTTCAGCTTTCATACGCATATCAGCTGGTTCTGGTAACAATTGTTCTGCCAGAGCAAAGCATTCAAGAGATATTTGCACGAAAGATTTTGATGCTATCATCCTTTTACCACAGTCAANACCAGTGCAAGCTCAATTATCCGTCAACGAAAATGCTGTTCACCGAGTGGTTTTGCCTTTTAAAGATCAAAAGTCAGCTGACGCAGTGAAAAGGCAATTATCAGATCTAAGCAACAAAATCGATCACACCCTTCATCCCGTGTTCAAGAGTCGCAAAATCTGTGAAGATCTCAGAGTACGTGAGCCTAAACCTCCTATAGTTAGCCAACAATGCGTTGTATATAATTATAAATGTGATCTGTGTGATGCAGAGTACGTCGGGTACACCAGCCGGCATTTACATCAACGTATTAATGAGCACCGTAATTCGGCCATCGGCAAACATCTAAAGAACGACCACAGCCTACAAACCATCGGCGACCTGACCAAGCATTTCAACGTACTTAAAAAGTGCACCGGGAAACTGGACTGTTTAGTTTATGAAATGCTTTTCATAAAGAAGATGAAGCCTTCTTTGAACAAACAATCGGATTCCATACGCACGAAACTATTTATTTAATAGTTTACATTTATGAACTCAACACGCGCAATTATTTACTTAAATATTTTAAATATTTTAAACGTTTTACGTTTGCCACCTTTGTGCGGTATAAATTAACTATTCATTTTTATTCTCTTCTCACTTGAGAATGATGACATGGAGTCATCGAAACGTTGTGTGTTTTTCTCGCTAGTGTTTATTCTTAAATGTCTAACAAAATCTAATGTCATTCGAATAATCTATTATATGTCTCTTTTTAATACCAACAGAGGCAGAGTAAAAAGAAACACTTACCTGTGATGGACACATCTGGATTTCTTTGGCTTTCTTCAACAATATTGTGGCTTTCTCTGCAAAAGATGGTCCTGCCTTACAACACAACAGCATCATTTTAGACAAAAGACTAGCTGTCAGGAGAACATTACATGGAGGCACAAAGTAAAGAGCAATTTCATAACCAATAATAGCTGACTGCCTTCCGCTGGGATGGTGGCCTCTCTTATCAGCAAGAGTTCCCCAAAAATTTGCACTCTCCTAGAAAACAAAATGTGTTAATTATAAATAAACTAAACTCAGGGGAAAATGACATTTGAAGTTTATGATTAATGACAAGCTGATTTCTCCCAAGTTATTTTTGATTTTCTTAACTAATATCAATGAAGCCAAATAAACTACTCAGCATATGACCTGAAATACTCATCAAACCCAAAAAGTCCTCGGACGATATGAGCGAATGGTATTTATTTATTAATCTGAGCGAATGGTATTTATTTATTAATCTGAGCGAATGGTATTTATTTATTAATATGAGCGAATGGTATTTATTTATTCATCATCTATTCTTCCTCCTTCAAGCAGAGAGTAACAAAAACCAAGACTCCGACCACCAGCACTGAACCCCCACCCCCCCCCACCAAGTTTACTGCTGTCTCCAACCACAAGGCAAATGTGCTGTTTTCACATCAGAGACTACCCTACAATTACACCTAGTAAGACCAAAGGATGCTGTTGACCTGGCTAAAAGGATGGCCCAATCTGTAGGATACCTTGCGAATACAGGAGGGTCTACATTAGCAAAATTGGCTGACCTATGTAAGAGAGAATCATGAAGCATGACAGAGATATCCAACTTCCTGGGGCACAGACCTCTGCTATTTCAGAACACGCCCACAACAGCAGACACTGCCTGCTCTGGAAAGAGGTAAAGTTTATTGATTGTGATCCCCACTTCTACACACTCAGTGTGAAAGAGGCAATTCACTTAAGACTTTAGCCTAACAACATCAACAGGGACAGTGAAATAGAAATCCTAGAAGCCTGTATGCTGATGGTCAAGATGCACAACTGCAGGAGATGTGCGCAGCAGCAGACCACACAGAGAACCTGATCTGATGATGTACCAATCACAGATGTGGAATTCCATCCAATCACAGCTAGGCACAACAGCATATAAGTGATGGGCACCCAATCAACCTCATCACTGGAAGACGACTAGCAGTATGCAGTCAAAAGTTTGGCAATCCACATCCCACATGACCACATTGTGAGGCTAATGATCATTATATTTTGCTCTTAAAGAGATATTTATTGTCAAACTTTTATCTTGGCATTTGCGGGAATAAATTGACTAGGTCATCTGTCTAATACTGCATATAATTCTACTACAAGATCAGCTTATTAATATGCTGTACATCAATAGAACAACATTATATAAAGTTACATTCCATGTATTTTATGGCTGAAACTATTCAGGAGAATAGAAATTATATGACAGCCTTACAAGGAAGTTGAGACTGGTGGAGAGGAGTGGACTCACTGTCTCAGTGGCAAAGCACTTCCTACAGTGCGACTCTAATAACTATTCTGCTGAACTGAATGACTACTTTGCTAAGCTTTGTTTGGATGAGAATTGTGCTGAACCAACACCTATCATGAATAGAAGTGAAGTGGAGGTCCCAGAGATGATTAGCTTGTCTGGAACTCGCTTAAAGTTCCAAATAGAACAGCTACTAGACCAGAACTGGTTCCCTAATGGGGCATGGAAAGAATAAGCAGAGATAGTCACACCTTCCATTACCAGAATCTGGACAGCCCGGCATATATCACTTTCTCTGCAGTGTTGGCCTTCAGCCTAGAAGCCTGCAGTGTCATTATCCATTCCTTAAGTGGACTAAGGGAAATGGGGACTACCAAGGGATTAGCAATGCAGATGTTAAATAGCTGGGGCATTGAGAAACTAATTTATCACTGCCAGGCCCAGCATATTGTAGAAAATCAGCTTAGCTCTATGCATTTCATGTATACAGGTGGTGGCAAATGTACTGGCACCCTTTCATCTTTACAGCATAGGATACAAACAGCTACTTGGACAGCTACTACTGCAGCACAGTATCACTTTTGACTATGGATTTCAGTAAAGCTGTCAGTTCTGTTAAACATGGTCATCTTGCTAAAGGACCTCTTTTTGAACCCTTATATTACAATTCATATCTTAGCTATTGCATGATTGGAAATGTGTTGATAAAGGCACTATAAAAGGCAGTGTTGGCAGACCTTCTTATTCAATGTCTTTCGTTATGACCTCATTACTTCTTGGATCAATCAGGACATACGGTATAAGTATGCTGACAACTCTACCGTCATACATATATACATACATACATACATACGTTACTTGACCACTCCCCATAGGGGCTTTTCAGGACCAATTCCCACCCATCCCACGCCAGGGGAGGACATCCACCACACAGTAATCTCGTGTGTGGGAAATTAACGTCTCCTACCCCTAACCCTGCAGGAGACAGGGCCTACGGTTTATTCGCTCTTATCCAAGAAGACTAGAATATCTATCCATTTTTTGATTATAGAAAAGTAGCAAATTCTCCTCACTTATTTTACGACCATGAGTACCATCATCCTGCCAGTTTGGAGAGAGGACGACTGTTCTGAGTGCTTAGCATCTCAGTTCATGACATGGATTGAGAGAATGGAATGCCATGTAATCCAATGAGATGCAATGAACTAACATTCCACAACAATGGCAACAAGGATTCTTACCCTCCGATAGTGGATACACCTATACCTGTAAGGAACCTTTATTTAACCTTTATTCAAAAATTTGTAGTCCTGCAAAGGGTTTGCCATCACGCAAGACATCAAGAAGGAAGGACACAAGGAAGTGGTTATTTTTGGTGTTACTTTTCGTTGTGACATGAAATTTAGTGTTTCATGTAAAGAATATAAGCTTCTTAAGGTAAACAAATGCCTTCATTTCTTGAGGTCCCTTTGCAGGGAGGGGGATGATCAAGCAGAAATTGACCTCCTTTTGCACACACAGTTGTTCTACCTAATGTATTTTATGCTCTGTCAGTTTACGGTGTTTCTGAGTCTGGGGCCTGTAAGTAGACATAGTATTTTAGAAAACAAGATCACAATTTCTTTAACACTGTCTCCCACTGAACAAGTCATCCATTGTTGATAATTATACCATTTCTTTAATTGTCCAGCTACAAACTCAGTAAAAGTTCTAGTCACAGGCTTCACATTAACACCAAGTGTTTTAAAAATTCATTTATTAATTGCTTAACAGTTAGGTAGCAATGTAATATTGCAACAGCTATGCTCTTTTATCTTTTGGAAAGAGAGCCTCTTATATTATTATTATTATTATTATAATTATTATTATTACTCTGACATTAAAAAAAATGTGATAAATACTTACTTCAGAATATTCGTGGTTTCCCTCTGAAATACAGAGTTCAATTTGCCACAAGGCATCTTGGGATTTGTTCCCACTGTGACAATAAAGTGCTTGTGCTAATCCTCTGCGTAGTTTCCCAAGGTTTTGCAGAGTCCCATTACGACAACTTTTTCTGTATAACCTTCGGATCACCTCTTGAAAACCATCAATTGCTTCATAATAAAAACCCTGTCTGAGGTAGTCAAAAGCTGCAGCTTGAAGGTCATCTGTTCCAAGGAAGTTCTGGTAATAATAGGCCATCAAAGCTCAAACCCTTCACGTTAAATGGGATTGTAATACAAATTTATTTCATGATCATCTCATTAAGGAAAATATTAGTTGAGTCAGGAAGTACTTTCAGTAATGAATCTACAGCCTGAAATACTTAAATTATTATTTTTATAGAGGAGTCAATTGTTAAGCACGATCTTATATTACCCAAATACTGAGTGGTGTGAGAAGCTCATTGTATACCAAGCCAAGCACACAAATTTCCAAAATGTCCTTTTTGTAGTTTATTGGCACAAGAATAACCCTTAACAGTCTTGGCAAGGTTCATTTAATTTTCGTAATCTATTTGTGACTATGTAAAACACTCAATCACAAAAAACCTCTACCAAACTATTTCTTCACATCAGAGCTCCCCCTCCCTCCCTGTCTCTTCCACCTTTAAGTTCAAGCAGAGTTTAGATGCTTAAACCATATTGCATTTAAAGAGATTTAAAAATGTGAAGTATGACATGCAAATACAATTTACTACCTGCAAACTAAACTATAAAAATTATAACTATAACCGGTTGATGGTCAAAAGTACTTTAAAAATCGACAAAGCATCGTTGTCATTACAACGATGTCAAGTCTAAAATAGACCTTAATATACGTATGTAACGAGTGCGAAAAACAACAGCGATGCTAAGGTTTAAAATACGCACAAATCAAAAAACCGTAATTGGCTATTCGTCGACTCTTGGGCTCATCCTCGTTGAAAAAACCTGTGAAGCTCACGAATGACGTAAAACAAAGACAACAAAACATAAACAATAGCGTACAGCAAAACAATACCTTATGAAACAAAGAAAACCTCGTCAGGTTTTTACACCGAGGATGACCCAACTCTTGAGACAATCCAACGACAACCACAAATTTCTGTAAGTAAATGCACATATTTTTACAAGTTAAATTTTGCTTTACATTTGGAGCTGCTAACTCACCGGATAACTAGATTCAACCGATAACAGTTCTTCTGAACCAAACAGAAACAAAATATGGAAGTCGACTGACCTGCACGTCTGAGCCAATAGCAAAGATATCAGTGACGTCACCTACTGTTATTAATATTCCAACAAGAGAACTATTGGCTCGGGAAACAAAGAGTTCTTTTGTTTAAGGTTTTGAACATTTAAATAACAAAGACAATGTTTGTAAACAAATATCTCCTCTGTAGGCTCGCACGGGAGGACCACCAGCAGAGAGCCAGATTTTACTTCCGCCTTCGATCCAGTTCTTCTCGGTTGACTTTGCTTTACAGCAAAGATGATAAATGTGGATGTTTTTACATATTCAAATACGGTTTACAAGATGATGACCGCGTCGATCTCAAATACGTTTTAATAATTCACTCCTCCACCAACAAAGCCGAAATTCCCAGAAACACAGGAAACGCAACTAGCTTAACATTACCGTGAACGTTCTCCGCCCGCGAACACGCTGGTCCGCTGTTGCATCATGGAGTGGGTGTGCCCGGTAAAATGCTCCTCTGGAATCCTATTTGCCGTGATTTTACACATCAGAATGCGAATCAGATCAGCTGTGGCTTTTACAATAATTCTACTGATATCATGGAGCTCATCCCCTATTTGAGAAACCTTACAAGGAGGTAGGGAGTTGCGGTGTAATGGCGTGGAGTGTAGGGTACGACAAGAAGTTGTCCCTCGACCCCGTTAAAACCGTACTTCAACCGCGCTATTTTTCCTTTTATTTTTTGTTTTAAAATAATCGTCTACTCCCTTGCCTTTGATTAACGAAGTTAGTTTATGATTAACTGTTCCTCGCCTGATCTCCTTTAACTGTTCACAAGTAAAATGTATCATCAACAGCAGGTTTAGGGAAGTGCAAGCGATCGAACTATTAACGTGTTATATTCGAAAGAAACCCAACAGGATAATTCAAACAAACACTTAATAAAATTCACTGGCTACTATATATTCTTACATGTACCGTCATATGCACCTTATATGTCACTACACAATGGCTGTCCCATGAAATATTCTGAATAAAATACTTTGTAATGACGACCAAAATAAGACTGGACATCCTGATCGGAGACATAAAAAAATCGACATACTCCGTCAGAGAACGAAATGGTTTTCATTTCCACGTAGGAACGAAAAGAAAAATAAGTTTCAAACTGGATCAAAGACAGACGATTAACCAATAACTTGTCAGATAAATTGGCTGACAATTCTTCGTAGCTACTATCTTATGCATGATCATTACGTCCGTACTGCACATGGTGTACATATGTGAAGTGTAAAATATCGCAGCTCTTGTTATGTGTTATGTTCTTATTTAACAATTCTGCCTTGTCATTATTTGTCATGGGGGAGGGGAAATGGTGGCGACAAACTCACGGTACTTGTGACGCCTCATTCTACTACTTATTCCGCGAACCTATTACTTGACCACTTTCCGGATAACGACACGTTTTCAGCTACATGGATCGAGGTGGAAAACGAGAAAAGGAGAACAGTTAACAGCTATGTGACAGAACATAGCAATCGTAGCAATTAACAGAAAATTAAGATATTTTACGGAGAAAAAAAGGCTATAGAGATTTTTTTTTCCAAGGTGACATGTTTGGGTTCAGTGGGTTACAAGGAAGTGTCTCGCTCTCCCCATACTTACACAATTGAGTTTATTCAAGAGATTATTACAAATTGTATTACACGTTTACTCTAATCGAGTCAGTATTCTCCGGTGGCTTTTTCCATGCATCCTACTCCGCAAAGTTTCGTACGAAAAAGGCAATTTTAGGGCTATCCTCACGTTACAAATTTTTTCGTTGCCTTCTTTAACTTTTCACAAAGCATCTGTCATTCACAAAAAATGCATTTAATCACATTACTCAGGGCGAGATGAATAACCGATGAACTCCTAACTTGACAGGTAAAAACCAACCCCATTCCATTCTCCTTAAGGCCTCGAATAATCTTCGGCTACAGGCACACAAACAAGTTTCCAGTCCTCATTTGCTATTTCTTCTCTCTCAGTCAAGGCAGATGGGTATATCTGTTGTAGGCATATGGGCATATCTGTTATTAATAAACGAAGTTAATCAAAAGGGCTGCAAACAAGCTCATGGTACAGTCAGTAATAAGGAATGAAAGAAAGAGCTGGGGTCGATCTGTTCTACCAAGTTTACTCTTACTACTAATAGTATACATGAGTAAATTACGCGCGTCTGATTGGCTGAAAACGAGTGCATTTTTCAAGAACTTACAAATAGCACGCGCGCCGTCAAAATTTGGTCTGTCTTGATTTTTGCGATACTTTTTTTTATATAAATTATCAACAAGTAACAACATGATTTCTCGGGAAATTTGTTGTAAATAAGCACTCATAAATATTTTAATGATTACAAATCTTTACACTTTACTCGTACTTTTTAACACCAAATTGCACGAGAAATCATGCTGTTACCCCTAACAAACCTCCTACTATGATCATCCAAATGTTCTTTTCAGGAATTTCTAGCAGATCGATCAATTAAATCCGTGGAAACTGTCTAGATTTATAACATAACCAAAGTAAAGCGCGCGCTCTGATTGGTCAATTTAGCGTCCCCTATTTGCCCATGGGTGTACGCTGCTGACGTGAGCAAATGCAAAGACTATTTTTCCGCGCGCGCTTGTTTTTTCTGGTCGCGTAAGATTTGTTAAATAAAAGGGTACTCTTTAGCTACAATGCATCAATGTTATGTTATAAAACAAATGGTAAACACCACAGCGTACACTATTGAGTTATGGATGCACTTGGGAGGTTTGCTAAGCACTCAAGAAGCTAGAGTCGCTCTCGGCTATCGCCTCGCGCGACTCTTAMGCTTCTTTCGTGCTTAGCAACCTCCCGCGTGCATCCATAACTCAATAGTGTACGCTGTGGTGTTTACCATTTGTTAACTAACATGACACGACAATGGCAGTCTGGCAGCTCACGCGCTCTTGAAACAATTGTCCTGAAAAGACAGTAATTAGACCACTTCATCGGATATATTGTTCTGTATGAAAACTAGTAAAAAGATTAAAGCATGTTGTTATGAAAATGTTCAAAAATCTAATCTATGTTTGTTCACTGTGACTCAATGATAGAAAAAGTAACTTAAAAGATTGCCGACTATGTCAAATTTTATATGACAAAAATCATGAGCAAAAAGGCTTCTAGACGAATCGGAATCCGCCGCCGCCGCGCGCTCCTTTCCACAATGCAATTATATAATTGAATGCTGAAAAATTTTACAATCAAGAATTATCCTCAAGATGGAGAGGAATAGTGGTGGGTATGTGCCGGGAAGCAAAGCGGCGAGGTAGCTATCCACCATTTTCACCGACACTGAGATGAATAATTGTTATAGTATGCACCACAAAGGGAACTAAATAATAGCATAATTCTATCACTGTACCGAAAAATTGCGCGAAATAAAACTCATTACGGGCGATTTTCCCATTTGACTGCTTGCAGAAGAAGGGTATTTGCTAGTTACTTACGAGCTAGGCAATCAGCCCGCACGAAAACCTATGCTCACCTGCGTGGTATGTCCTAATCAAAGATATTTTTAGTGCGTTTCCCTAATTCTTTCGCTTTTTCAGTCCCGGAACATGCAGGTACTCTGAATCTTCAACATCTTCGACATCTTTTGTTGAGTTCATCGGGTCATCATCTGTATGAAAGTAAAAAGAATAGAATCGAATATGGGTATTTTGTGATACGGGTGAACGGGAAACTCGCTTGAAAAAACGAGCTATAAGTGGTCCATTACAAATAAATTAAACCCTGCATCTTGAGAAGTTGGAAGTAGCTCGCTTGAGAACCAATTAAATTCTTGGCTGCGATGCATCAGCAAAGTTCCGTGTTACTGACTAGCACGTCTGTGCCTTCTGCTTTTCTTGTAAGAGATGATGGCAGGGTTGTTGTAAAATCTTGATCATATGAGCTTGCGTTTAAAAAACGTAGTTGTCATATTTGTATTTCAATCGTGCTTGCTCGCTGCACTTTTCCTGCTGTCCCTAATAGCCTAAACTGCACAATTGGTTTTTTAAAAGCCTGATAGCAGATACAAACCTCTTGGTTGAGACTCTTTTAGGAGTTCCTCTTGGCAGGCTTGGGAGGCTTTTAGGAAAGCCCTAACCGCCTCCTCCACAGGTGTAGTTTCCGCCCAGTTGCCTTCTCGTTGAATTGTCGAAGTTACCTCTCGCAAAGCAGTATAGGTCATCTGAACTTCATTCAACCTGTTGCTCAGAATACTTAAAGGCATGTTCTGTTTTCCGGCTATTTCCAATTGATCTTCAACTTTCTTGACGAGCGTCTCAAAAGTGAAATGGTGCGGGACCACTTGTTGAATGATTAGTGATTTGTAAGCATTAAATTGCTCAAGTTTTTTCCAGTGTGGGCTATTTGGACTCAGGTGACTTTCAATGTCGTTGATAAAAAACTCGGAATGACCTGATTCATTCACGCGTTCCAAGTTTCCTTCGACTCTGGTTTGTTGGTCGGAAAAGAAAACGTTGCAAAAACCGCAACCTGATTTGTCGACTTTCACATTTACGAAAGGAGTAGGTATATCATCTTGTCTTATCGCTTGTCCGTAATCAACTTTCGCATGCTCTCCCATTTCTGTTGTCATCTCTTTTTTCCACAATTCTTCCTGCATGGCCTCTTCTCTTTCAATGTCATGTACCATCGAATTGCTGGAAGGATCCAAGTCGGATGTAGGTTGATCCTCTTCTACATGTGGACCATACTCTTCTTCAGGCTCCAAAGCGTCGTCTCCTAAGGGGTCAGCGGTTTCCTGGATTAGTGTTGAAAGAGTGTCTGTATCTGTATTGAAAGAGTCGAGGTATCCATTGAAGTTCACATCGTACATCCTAACCGTCCTAGATCTCCAGTAAACATCGCAAAGCTCTTCTTTTCTGTTCCTTAAAAGGTCTTGAAGGATAGCTACTATTTCACGGAGACCTTTTGCTTGTCGAACCTGTTTTAAGCAGCTGCTTATTCTTTCTGGCAGAATGCCTTCATCGGGCACTTGGGCGAAAAGGTTTCGAAGAAGAATGATCTCGTTTTGTTTTGGCAATAACTGGCCACAGTTGCAAAGCATGGTGAGCACCATGATTACAGTACGTTCCGTTTCCCCAGAGTCAATACAAGATTGCGTGTTTAAAACTCTTTCGAGAACGTTGAATTTTGGCGAGGACCCTCCCAACATGAGAGAGACCATGTCACGAAGCAAACTCTGCACGCGGACCATAGTAGTTGGAGAGAACCTGAACAATTCCACAGCGCGAAAATTTTCAAAGTGGTTTTGCGTGGTGCAGTTGAACGCGTCCCACAAAGTGACGACAGATAACTAGCTTCGCGGAAGACAAACCCGAAAGGAGAGCGAAGAAATAAAAGGTGCCAGAGCTGCATGAACTACAAATTGGTATTCTATAATCGAAAGGAAGTTCTTTGCATTGGGAAAAGGGAGCTTTTTTCCGCGACTTAACGACATCTTCAGGAAACGCCGCACAGCATAATGGCCTGCATCCAAAATTCTTCCGTGGACATGGAGATGACGCTTCGAGTCCTCCCACCAACGACTAAACAAAGTACATCTTCGTGGGTTTTCTTCTATCACCATACCGACAGATTGGGGAATTCTTAGCTTGTTCTGGCTTTCGTAGAGAATGGAATTCCAGAAGTATTCCTCTTCCTTCTATATCCAAGAAAAAATTGTGCTCGGAGGTAATCCCAGCAACTGCAAAAGATTTGAGACTGTCAAGAAGCAGTTGATGTCTGAAATGCGTTCTTGCCTGTTAAGTTGATTTTTCCATAACGTATCCACGCACTTGTATAGACTTTGCTGGATGAATTTCTCATCTCGCACAAGCTGAATGTACTTTCTTGAGCGGATACGTGAAGAAATGCCAATGGGTGAGAAAAAAAATTGAAGAAAACTTCTGCAAGACTGGTATGGATCTTTCGGAAAAAGCTTCCCCAATTTTTTACTCGATGTGCTGAGTGGCATCCGAGGTTCAAAACTATCACTGGTTTCATGAGATGAATATATTTCTTCAAGTTTAAAGAGGTCGTTCACTTGAGCGTCAAGATAAACTTCATGCGAAAGTGCCCAGAACAAAGTATCTGTGCTTTGATCTGTAGGGAGACAGTGTTGATACTGACAGTTCTCGTCACTACAAGGCATCCCGACCAAAAACATCTGGCATGTCTTGTGCGAGACGATCTCTTTCTTTAAAAAGTTTCGAACCTTTGGAATCAGACTGGTAATTCTGTCAAGGAGATTTTCTGCAATTCGTGTACGGACGTCCCGGAAATGCAATCTCCATTTACTGCCGGCTGGAGTCTCCCTTTTCCAATCCAATGAAATTGAAAGAAAACGATCACCCTCTTTCAATCTTACCAGTCTTGTTTTGGGATCACCCTCTCTGTAGATACCAAAGTGCTCCTCGCATCTCTCCAGTGCTTTCTGCGTCTTGAAGTCTGGATCGGGAATATCCAGTGAGAGAATGAGCTTTATTACGTTTTCTACCAGTTTCACCAGAGTCCAGCTAAACTTTTTCTGGTCAAGAATTTGTAAATCGTCACCAACCATTTCACTCAGAATTTCAATACATTCAAGATTACTGCAGGTGTTAGAGACTGATGGATCGGAGAATATTTCCATAGCCCGCAATACTTTCTTTTCATCCCGTGAAAGCTTCGCCTGTCTTAAAAGAACTTCACCCAAACTGTTTTTCTTTTTTTCCATACCTTCGTATAGCTGCTTGGCCTCCTCTAAACATTTTTGTTGCTCTTCGTCTGTCATTGCATTTGAGACACGCGCATGAGCAAAGATACAATCAGCTGCAAGAACTGAGTTACCAGACCTCTGAGCATACTTGGCCGCGATCAGAAATGACCCATTTTCCCTCATGATATTTGCAACTTCTCCTGAACGTCCCAGTTTCTCTAATTCTTTGGCAGCGTCCTCGAGCAAACGATGCTTCATCAAAAATGCAATCCGGGTATCGGTAGACTCAACGTGCTGAAGAGAAGAACTCATGCCTGCTGTATCGCCTCGCCTGAAACTGAATTCTGCTAAGTCCAAGTACAATTCATCAAGAGTTCTGCCTGGAGGATTGGTCAGTTTCTGCTCCTCTGAAGTTAATTTTCTGAAACGCTTTACCACCTCAATAGCTTTGCTGTAAAGACTTCCTCGAACGAGAGCATCAACTGCTCCTCTGTAATCAGCTGTCGCCTCCAGACACTGGCTTGCACTTAAGAAATGTCCATTTCTTTCAAACACAATTGCGGCCTTTCTCTCCTAGAAAACAAAAGGATTTTTGTCAAAATAAAAAGTAAGGTGCTATAAGTAGCGACACCTAAACTTCTGACTTCGTCGCCTGACGAAGACTAGCAGTATAGCAGTGGAAACGTCGCGATTAATACATTTGATAGCATGACTCTACAACGAGAGACAACAATTAAACGTTTCATTTATCTACAAAACTACGATAAACAATAGCATTTTCTATAACAAAAAAACCAGACTTAAGAAGGTAAGTCGTTAGCATTAAAACGTGAGGAATATTAGAGCTGCTTTCGATGAACAAGACGCACTTATTTCTATCACCAGGCTTTCAGGTTTAATCAGGAAAACCTGTGCCTCTCATCCTGATCTCAAAGGTCAGGTTTTCCAAATAGGAAATACGCAAATAACGTGTACATTTTTTTCACTTCGCGGCAACATAGAACTTCTCTAAAACAGAGAATACGTTCATATTTAATTTAAATCAAATTGAAGTGGTATTAATTTCATAGCAATTTTGATGACTCATCTCCTTTTCCGCATACACCCCGTAATCTATGAGACACATAGCTTCACTCAACGATAACCACATCGCAGTCTCACCTTTCCAAGCTTCTGTAGTAGACTTGCGAAAAGGCTATGTTCCCAAGCGTTATATAAGCAAGCTTTGGTTTGCCGAATCATTTTGCATTGCAGAAACTGGTAAGCTGCTCGTAGGAATTCATCCTTCTGTCGCTGTGGGTCTTTGCTAAAGTTTAGTGCATAATCAGCCTGTGCGTAAGCTTTGCATTTTCGCCTCATGTCATCATCGCCAGAATTTGTGTAGCACTTTTCTGCAACCTTCCAAAGTTTCTTGCTGTAAAAAAAATCTCCTTGATTCTGCCATTCCATCAAAGAAGACCCTTTAGGGAAGATTTTCTCTAATGGCTGGTTTTCAGATGTGCTTCCTTCTCTCACTGCTTCCAGTGATACGACTTCTGCTAAACCAAGTTGCTCAAAGTACTCAAACACTGGTCGCCGGTTTTCTTCATCCTCATCGAAGAACCAGACATTTGCTCGGGCCCGAGTCACAGCTGTGTACAGCTGCTTCAGCTCAGCCTTCAGAAGTTTGTGTTGGTCTGGGTCAAAAGGTACAGGTCTTGATTTGACTTCCACTGAATTGCCGGTTTCAGATTTGCTTACATTCAGAAGATACTGCGTTACTGTCCCCCACTCGATTCTTGCCTGTATGTGAAAAAAAAAAAGGCAAAACAATAACAAGCAGGAATGAGAATTGGTTTTCTTGAGTTTGCTAAAGAAGCATTAAAAAAAATTCACAAAAATAATGAAGGGAAAAACCGATTGCTTGAAAGGTAGTCGCCTTTCAGCCTTGCAGACAAACACATTTAAAAAACGTTTGCGTCAACGCCGCAAACGAAACTTTCATTATGTTTACGAGGAGAAATGTTATTTTTAGTGGTTGATAAACACCTTGACGCAGGGTTTGAATCAATACATAATCTAAAAGGGCAAGATCATAGTGATCAGATTTTGCGTAGGGACACCGGACGTTTAGCTCAATCTATCTTTGCAAGGTTTTCTTTCACCTCAACGAATCACGATCAATACGACTCAAAGGATCTAGTGTTGTGAAGTCAACTGGCAGATATTAATTTAACAAAAGCACAGTTACCTTCGAGTCTTTGAAGAAATTATACACAAGAATGTCGTCAAACTCCAGTCCTTTTGCTTCATAAACTGTCAACACAAGTGCGTGGCTAAGCTCCTCTGGAAGACTTTCCCTTACGTTGTTAGAGGCCACAAGGATGGCTTGATGAGCGCCGAACTCAATGGTGGTTGTCTTACGCTTATATCCACGAAGAATAATAGCAAGATCTGAGGGACTGCACGACTTAAGGAGTACTGGCTTGGGACCATCCAGCTGCCCTTGATCTTTATCTAATTGGTCAAACGATTCAGGAAAATATTCCTGCAGAATGCTAACGACACTGGACGCCAAATTTAGAATTCCGCTGTGTGAACGGTAGTTCCAAATGAGCTTCTTTAGTTCTGGAACCGGGACTTGTGTTTTTGCTTCTTCGTCTTTGTAGTTCTTTTTCACGTAATAGAAGAGTGAACGAAGATCTTCAAATCTAAAGGAAATACCTTGCATTATACTTTGGGCGGTGTCTCCGGTGAGAAAGATGCCGTTGGGATCACTGCAACAGCGTATTAGCAGCATCAACTCTGCCTGTGTGAAGTCCTGTGTTTCATCAACATACAACTTGTGGATTGACCAATCAGAGACTCGGCACTGCCTCAATCGGTGATACAGTTGGCAAACAAGGTCGTTTTCATCGAACATGTTAGGGGATCTGACACGCTCGTAAGATAGAAATAGATTGTAAATTGCCTCCCTGTCAGCCGTAAAGTTTGGCGCCCTCTTTTGACCAATTTCTCGGTATTTGTCAAGGGTGAGACGACCGCTCTTTGTATGCAAAGCTTCGTATGAGCCTTTAATAAATGACCGTATCTCCATCCATACCAAGGATGGATGGAAGTTTACGTCTTTCTTTTTCTTGCACATTTTTGGCCATAATTTTTTTTCAAAAATGTCGTAGCTTACAAGCTTCTTTTCTCTCACTTTTTCTACGCTTGATCCTTTATCCTCTAAGAGTTCATCTTCTTCATCTGAGTCGTCTTCATTATCGTCTTCCTCGAGGAGTGGAATGTCGGAGAGCCTGCTATCTTCTTCCCCCCAATTTTGGGCACCTGGATCCAGGCTCCCATCCTCATTTCGGGAAAAGAAGGAAGTTCCAGGCAAGGAAGCGTCTAACATGACGTAAAAGTCACGTGCACTCAAAAATTGGGGCCAGCCATTAACGGAGTCGTCAATCTCCCGCAGTTTCACTGGTTTCATTTCCCTTTACTTAGTTGCATATTCCACAAAAGAAGACGCCTGACTCAAAGCCATGAAATTCTTTGAGATTTGTTGACACAGAACTCCATTTTTGGTTACAAACAGCTGTTGGAAATGTTCTAAGGACTCTTCAGATTCGGGAGATGTTGCTAGAAAAGATGCTTCCCCGTCGGTATCCCTGGCAGTTACTTCTCTGCTACAGCCATTCTTCTCCTCGTCAAGCTGTTCGCTAATCGGTGCATTTACTTTATGAGAGTCGGAGTCCGCCTGGTCTTTGGGAAGAGACCCAATCTTCTTAGGCATTAGTGGTCCACTTTTCACAGCGTTCCTCCAATAGCTTTCAAAATCTCTCCACAAGCGATAAAGAATACAGGTCGTTTTTCCCGTACCACTGCGTCCAATCAAGATGATTGAACTCTGGGGGGAAGGTTCAAAGTTTATGATGGCATGCTCTTCTTCTGTTACTCTAAATGGAAAGTCAAGGACGACATTACTTGATTGCCGTTTCAGTATTGTCTGAATCATTGCCGCAGACAGGTGGTAAAATTTCAGTACTTGGTACTCGTTGTCGTGATGACTAACAGGGGGGAAAAAAGTCACTTGGTCTTCATCTGTTTCGTAACAGGGCACGTTCTCTTCTGGTACCGCAGGTACTGCAGGTAAACTAGATGAAAGGTCTCGTGAACGCTTGCAGTAAAGATTCGGGCCTGGGTCTAGTGACGCCTGTCTCCTGGGAAGTCGTTTAAGTTCCTTCCTCAGGATACCTTCCTGTCCTCGGATAAATGATTTAACAATATTTTCTTTAGTGCGCGAGACGTTGTCGTGATCGAACACGATATCCCATATTCGGATAACCTCCGAATAGATCGTGATTTTTTCTTTCGCGCCCTCGTCGGAATATTGAGGAGAGAAAGCAACAGCACATTCCCAGATGATTCTTGCAGCTTTTGTTAATCTCGCCTCATAAAGATGGATACCACAATTCTTTGGCACACCCTTCAGAATTTTACAGAGTTCCTTGGACCAGTTGTGCCGGCCTAGAGCCAGAGTTCTTACTTTCTGAAAAAAGAGTTGCTTCTTCCATGGCTCCAGACGTTTGCTTTCTAATACTTTCAGTACTTCTGCAGTGAACTCCACCTCCCATGGCAGTCCCTCCAAAGCTCCCTCCATACAATCTTCTGGTTTATAAGGAATACTAGAACATTGTTCTTCGTCTCCTAGATCATCTTCTTGAACTAATCCTCCATCATCACTCGTGAGTTTTAACTGCATGACTCCATCGCTCAGAGTTTGACTACTCTCGCTCTTTGGGTTTACGCTCCTCTTGGACACTTCTCTGGATTCATTTCGGGGAATTGTTTCCTTGATCCAATCACGGATATCCAACTTTTGTATTAAAGACTCTATACCTGAACGAACAGTCAACAAGGATTCCGTCTGGATATCAACGATGGATTTTGTGGAAGGCAAAGATTGCTTAGAATTTGCTTTTTCTTCAGTTTTCCTCTTTCGCGGTTTATTCTTCGATCGTTCTGTTAAATGTCTCTCTTCCTCTTCCTCGTTGCCTTCGTTTTTACTTTCTTGCTCTGGACTGTTCGTCTCACGTGATGACGAGCTTTCAAAGTATTCCGAAGCAGACGACAGCAAAGTTAGTCTTTCATCATTGAGCAATCTATAGCGAAAGATGCCAATTAGATTAATAGTACTTTTTTTTTTTTCACTCAAATCCTCAGTTTTCCAACTAAGAGTTTTGCACGCTTAGGATTATAACGATTAAAACCACAAAAATTGTCTGTAGAATACACTGAGCCTCCCGGTTAGCTCAATTGGTTAGAGCGCCGGATTGTGTTGTGCGGGAGGTCGAGGGTTAGGGCCCCGGCCGGACCAATACTCATGGCCTTAAAACAAATGAGGAGAATCTGCTACCTTCCTATAATATCAAGAAATGGATAGATATTCTAGTCAAGCTTCTCGGATAAGAACGATTAAACCGTAGGCCCTGTCTCCTGCAGTGTTAGGGGAAGGAGAGGTTAATTTCTCACGCACGAGATTACTGTGTGGTGGATGTCCTCCCCTAGGGTAGGATGGGTGGGTGTTACACAGGGCCTCATTTAAACCAGCTAGTTGCTGAACTGGGCCACCCTGTCTAAATATTCGTAAATACATACATACATACATAGTTATCAAAGAGTTAAAGCACCGCGTTTACGTGAAACAGCAAACGCCAGCTTGCCTTTAATGTTTCCCGTAGAATAGCGTGAATCTTACTGCTTTAGCGTCGCGTGAGCTCACGTCATGTTGGATGTGAAGGCGCCCTTGTATGACTTACAAGGAATAGTTTTGGTGCCCTTTTCCCGGCAATTAACTTACAGTTTTTGTGAAGAAAAAGTGGAGAAAATCTTACGTATACGGAAAACGTGAAACAGGCTGCTTTCACGTTGAAACGGCAAAACGCAACCGGCAAACCTCAGAAAATGGCGGGAAAAACGTAATCACGTGGTCACTATTGCCGTTCACGTTTCACGTAAACACGGTACTTAATCTCTCTATTGTTTTCAACTCCACCGCTATCTGCTCGTCCAAAAATAGAATCTTTAGATATTACACCATTTCCACTTCAAGAGTTGACCTAACAATTATTTCTCTGACGTCTTATGGTTGTCATTTTTGTTTTCTGTACCAGGTCTACCTGTTAATTGATTTACGATGATATGGAACCAAATGTATTTAAGCCTTGCCTCTGTTTGGAGAGAAGGTCGATGGGCCTTTCCTTTTCGTTGTTTACGATTGACGCATTTGCTCCTGCTCTAAGAACAAGATTCATGGCCTCCCGTTTCTTAGAATTCATCTTTCCTTGACATAGGAAATGTAGAAGAGTGTTCCCATCCTTATCCTGTTCATCGACGAGTTCAGATCTTTTGCAGTCGAGAAAGAACTGAAAGATTTCCAAGTTACCTGTTTTTCAAAGCAAAAAAAGAGAACAACAAATTTTACCGAGTTACAAAGGAGAAGTACGTGGTAACAAATATTTAAGGTAATATCTGAATACCGGGATACCGCTACAGTTCTTTACCTTTTGAATCTTTTCTAAGACATGATATTAGCTTACCTTTTTTCGAATTCAAGGCGATTCGCAAGGAAGCATGTAATGCAGTTTCTCCATCTCTTTCCACCAATTCTTTTTCATCAGCTCCATCATTCAAAAGAATCAGTGCCAAGTCCAAACAGTCCTTCTTTATGCAGATTGAAAGCGGGGATTTACTTCTGTTAGGGAGACCATTTGGACTTGCATTCTGTTTCAGGAGGGTTTTAACTAATTTATCTCGGTTTTCTATCTCAGATTCCAATACAATGTCTAGTGGAACACAAGATGCATCGCATGCGGTGGCCCAACAGCTTTCAAGGAAGAGAAATGCCAAGTACTCAATGGCTCTTTTGGCAACACACTCGCTAATAAGTCTTTCAACTAAACAGCCATCCACAGGGCATTCCACTTGGAAGACTTCAAATGCTGTACAGGAAATAATCAATTCACTTTTTTTTGAACGAAAAAAAAAACCCCAGGGTAGGGAACAAAAGGCCACATTGCTACTACATGTACGTTTTTCCGATACCTTAAAGAAAGCTGAACTTGAGGCTTAAATTCAGAAAGCTAAACTTGAGACTTGAATTCAGAAAGCTGAACTTGAGATTTGAATAGAAAAAACAATTGTACTCGTAAAAATATTTTTGAAAACAAATAGTCATCTTATACCGAGAATAACGGGAACTAACGCAACTTATCACTCGACCTAGAGGCGTTTAAAAACCATGGAGATCGGATCAACTCTTACGAGTTATCTGCGAAGAAGTTTTGTGTGGTACGTTCACACATCAATTCTCACACCTGAACATCATACATTTAGCAAGGTACACCTTTGGCTGAGAAATGAACTGATGTGCCTGTCTAGAGTAGTATTATGGCCATATATCAGAGTTAGAGAAAGAAATAACGATAAAAATGGTATTTTTGATAAGCACATGCAAAGAGTCACTCGAGCAACATCCAGCCTCAAGGTGATTTCCTCAGCCCCAACTAATGCCTTTTCAATACCATCGTTTTCGTATTTTTTTTTTCAACTGTCCTGAGTTGTGCAATTTCCGTTTTTTTATCATAATACTCTTACATCTATAGTCAAGCACCGTAAAAGGCCTGAAAAAATGGGGAAACTTCGTATTTATGGCTACAAAAATGCTTTTTCTGAGGTGGTTGTTTCCATAAAAGTCTTTATGAAAATTAATTCTTTAAATATTTCAGTCTTTACCTTTCTGTGATACAGCTGATGTAAAAAACTTGTAAAAATCTTGATATTTATCCTGTTGTCGGTCTTTCATAAGTTCCTGTGCTTTTACAAAATTCACACGTGCTCCTTCGTAATCCCGGCTTCGAAGGCAGCATTTCCATAATAGTGAGTAGCCCTGTCGCGATTCATAGGCATTTTATAGGAATGATTAATGGCATAGAGATTCTTACGAAATAAACCCTGACTGGATGGGAAACCTCGTGCCTCTTGATTCCACGAAGCTAGTGGCCAATTGTGCAGAGTTCTCAAAGAATGAATTATATCACCTGTTAACGGTTGAGTGATGGAAAACAAAAAAATAAAAAGAAGGGAAACTTTCAAGTTCCCTCCACTGTAAGCACAATTCATTTCTTGCCTCGACAAAAGTTTACGTTTGCCTTGCTTCGGAAAAGCAAACAAGCGGATGAAATTTAGAGTTAATGAATTTAATTTGAAGAGTTTCCTGAATGAAAAAAAGAAAACCATATCATGTAACTACCTTCATTTTGGAAGGGTTGAGAGTAACATACGTCCAGGCATCCTCCGTTGCTTGGGCATACTGACTCGATTCACCACTAGATAAAATGGTCTTTGCTCTGAGAAAGCAGAGCCGGGCTTTTACCTTGTCCTCATCACTTTGCAAAAATCTTTCTGCTAGAGTAAAGCACTCAAAAGATATCTTGAAAAAGTCTCTGGATGGTAGAATCTTTTCTCCACAATCCAACCAGATTTTTACGAGGTCCTTTTTAAGAGGAAACCGCTGGTTGTAAAATAATGGCAGATATATATTTTTAGCAAACTGCATTTCGCCATTAAAAAACGAAATTTGGTACTGCTCCAACTCTTAAAAAAAAAAGTCTTTTTATAGGATTGGGGTTCTTAATGATGTTCTTAATGATTTTATGTTCAATTTAGACCATTTGTTTCATTTGTATACAAGGACCACAATGGAAACTACTGGTTCACCAGTAATCGTGTAATCCTATAAAAAGACTTTTTTTTTTTTTTTTTTTTCGCCATTAAAAAACGAAATTTGGTACAGCTCCAACTCTTCAGCTATCCTTGGAAAATACAGCATCGAATTAAAGTATTAGAAAGCATAATCGGTACATTTGTATAAACGGTCGCAAAAGAAAACCTGCCACTTGATTTCGCAAACCTTACTGTGCCATTTTCTGGCAAATTCCAGTAGTTATAGAGACTTTTAGAACATAGCTAGCAGAGTCGCGCAATCAAATTCATTGTACGTAAGCGTGCTCAAAATCCCGATAGTGCACGCTGATAGCGTCAGCAAATCCGACTTCGCCAGAAATTTTTTTTTTTTTTCATTTCGCCATTAAAAAACGAAATTTGGTACTGCTCCAACTCTTCAGCTATCCTTGGAAAATACAGCATCGAATTAAAGTATTAGAAAGCATAATCGGTACATTTGTAAAAACGGCCACAAAAGAAAACCTGCCACTTGATTTCGCACAAACCTTACTGTGCCATTTTCTGGCAAATTCCAGTAGTTATAGAGACTTTTAACGACTACTTGTAGTTTTATAATGATAATTGGAAGGCTTAACGCATCGAAAAGGTGCGAATTTTCAAAGGAGAATTATGACTTTTTGTTACGTCAAAGGACAACGGATAAGTTGTCAAACGTGTTTCGGCGACGACCATAACGCACTTATTGGTTATGATACTGTTGCTGATCATACTTACCTCTGATTCACAAGTGATCTGGGATGCTGTGGCCATAAGCGAACTAGCCTTGGTTTGGAAGGAGGACCCAAATTCACAGCATAGCAGCAACATTGTTGTCAGCAGATGACTCTTTTTCAATAAGTCAAGAGGAGGAACGAAAAGGATTGCTATCTCGTAGCCTTTGAGCTTAGACACGGGAATCTCGGCTTGTTTATCAGCAAGCGTCGTCCAATGCTTCACGTGTTCCTAGCAAAATTGTGAGATTAAAATGCGGAATAAGATATCTAGAAGAGTTATAGGGTCTATACCGACAGAAAAAAAAAAAAAAACCCACACAAAACAATTATACTTAAAAAGGTTGGAGAATGGAGGGAATAAGAAGCTGCCATGTTTTGTCAGTTCGGTGGAAAAGAACTTGAACAAGTAATTCTGTGTTCTTTTTGACAGCTTTGCTAAAAAAGTTTAGGAAAAATTGGAATTACCTCAGAAAATTCATGGCAGTTCTCTCTTATGCATCGTTTTATCTGATCCAAAGCCCAGTCAGGTCGGTGCACGTGCCAATATGCTTCTGCTAATCCTCTGTAAAAGTTACCAAGTCTTTCTTCCACAGGATCAGTCGATGTGCGTTTTTCGTGCAAGATCCAGTAATTAAAGCTGAGAATTGCCATATCATAATGACCCTCGCGAAGCCATTTAAAAGGAAGATCTTCCTGGGATTCAACCGCCCGCACCGGAAAATCAGCCATGCGCACAACCTAAAAACGCAAGTTGTCTTTCACCGAGTTTGCTGCAATTCTTAAAGTCAATCCTATTGTCTTACTTTTATGTAAGACAAGCAACATTAATTATAATGCATCTACAAAACTAAATTCAAATTAAGATTTAAAAATCGTAAATCGTCTATGGCAACAAACAGACTTCCACTTGTCAAATGAACCTGCATATTATGAATGAGACTTCAGCTCTTTTTTTAAGCACATACACCACGCTTTATCAAGCACAATTCAACTGAGACAGAGAAAAATTTCTTACCATGAAAGAAATAAACTATGATGCGCAACAAATTTCAATTCACTCTCTGGACTAAATACCTGACGGGAATTTCCTAACAAGACATTTCGTTATCCTAAAATTCAACATGTTTAATCCAATGATTTCCGGTTGACTATGGGAAAAATCTTCGCATTATTTATGTCTTAAATGATGCGATCATCCTCATTCACATCTCGTGAACTCTAGTGCATCAAAAAAAGTTTTCCGATGCAATTTCATTTGAAATGCGAAGATCCACTGGATCATAAGCTCAATTTTATTTTCCGAGAATCTCAGAGGTAGATCGTGTTCCTTTATTACCTAGAAAACCTTCAACTTCCGCTAACTGTCGCATTTCCCAGAAATCCAAAATTTGACATCTTGGAACAATTAACATTAACACGGAACAATCAAGTGAGTCCTCTTAAAAGCAAATCATGAAATAAATTCATTGATGACCCTCCATGATAATAATAATAATCATAATATTATTATATTATACCCTCCAAAACGGGTTAAATTGTGATATGACAGATAAGATTCTGTTTGGAAGAAAATGGAATTAGTCTACTTCTTTGAAGTCCAAATACCATTCGTCTTGCGTAAAACTAAGATTTTGCTGCCTAATTTATCCTTGTTTTATCGACACTGGTTATTGGCATGATTAACGGTGAATCGTTAGTGATGTCACTGGGTCCAATCAACATTAACTTACAAGATATCGTGGCCCGGTATAATGGCACAGAAAGTTGATAGAATGCTAGTTGTGCAATGACCGATCAATGTTCAGAAGTGCGTAAGGATTGAACCGATTATACCTATAAGTTAAATTCAAACGCAAACAAAGATTCACTTGTCGAGCTGTGCTTTAATTTGGATCTATCAACAAAGTTGAAATGGTAAATTGGCCACCGTAACGATTACAAAAGCTGACGTTTACAAAAGCTGTGCTTTAGATCGATGTAGGTTTTGGTTTCTACCTAATGGGAACTGTGCCACAGAATTTCACCAAATTTAGCCATTTGTAACTGGCCACCAAACTGGGTGAGTGACAAAAATAATCTATTAAAACATGGGAGGAATATTAGGCCAACATAGCAATTGCATCTTAACGGTTACGGTTGGAACAAACCAATAACAATTAAAAAGTCGAAACGAATTTCAAATGAGTTCTCGAAAGCTGTTCAACCCCTTGATTTTTAAAGTTTGTCTCGATTGTTTCAACTTGAAATTTGAAGGAGGACGCTTGGGAGACACATTGCTGTGATCTTGCAATTTAGACTGTTCTTTCCTCAGAAACATCACGTTTGAACAAAGAACATGTAACTGGGTAAGCAAAACAGAGTGGACTAAGCTGCCTAAGGCATAAACATCCCCTAAAAATCACGGTCCTATTTTATTTTTGATTAGCAGTGACTTATTGTAAGATAAAAGAGAGGCTTAAATTTACAAATGTTACTGTGATACATTACACGGTTATACCAACTATTTCTTCAGGCCTGCTAAACGCCAGCGAAAAGTAATAGAAAATTAAATTCTAAAATTTTAGCCTCAAACCCATTGTGTCAAACGTAATAACCTCCTCTGAAACGGCACACAACAAGTACACGAAGCCCAACCAGTTTCAATTGCAAGCTCTTTCGAACGCTTCTCGTGTATGCTGATACGACTTCGAGGTTTACGGGGCAAAAACTGACAGAAAAGCGACAGAGTCGATTTTTGTAACGTCGTGTTAGACTCCTATTGAAAAAGCTGTTGCGAAATAAAAACACTAAGATTACCGTTTTAGATTTTAATGACGAAAGAAAGAAATACGTGACACAAAGTAATACCTTGACTGTGTAAGTTAGAAGAAAGGCTGATAGTTTGGAAAGAAACTGTTTGGGGCTGCGTCGGTGGGGGTAACGAAATACTTTGGATATATCAACAAAGTTGAAATGGTAAATTGGCCACCGTAAAGATTACAAAAGCTGACGTTTCGAGCGTTAGCCCTTCGTCGGAGCGAATGAATGTGTAAGTTAGAACCCGAGACGTTGGAAATGTTTTCAAAGCCTTATTGTACGCTCGCCAGCCAGAGAAAGGCCACAGGGATGACCACAGAGCAATAAAATTATCACATATCGCGGTATTTCTTTTGTGGTTTAGATGAAATCATCTTATTTTGTTCACAAATCTTATCGGAAAAATCCCTAGAGCCGTAGGATAGACACTGGCCGGCAAAGAGGATGGCCCCTCGCAAGCCAAAGTCCTGATTTTGATAAAACTTTGTAACAATGCCCAGAATTCATGAACTTCGCACAATTTGAAAGTAACTAAAGAAACACGTACCGTAAAACAAAAGAAGTCTCTCATACACCACGAAAGACACTACTACAGCAGTGATGCGACATTTTCCAAGAATTCGAGCACCTAAGAGCCTGGACAGGAGACAACAGTCTTACGTACCGGAAGTATGCGAGGGTAGGTATTTCACATACTGGATTGGACTGGACTGACACGAGCTGGACTAGTGATTCGCGAATTAGTGAAAAAATATATGTAAGAGGTGAATTGATAGAGCCAATAGGGTCTCAGCTGATATTAGCTGTGGGCTGTATTCTGTTTGACTGTCAGGCCTAGCCTACCGTAGATAAAACAGAGGAAAATATCCGGATAGGTAGAGAGTGCTGGAATTCGAAACGAAGACACTGTTTTAGAAATCAACTTTTAATTAAGTTTGGCCTCTGGGCAGGTATGTATAGGCAGCTCAATCCAAATATATGCACAAGTGGCTAAAATATACCTGTCAGCACAACAAACTCAATCTCTCTCCCAGCCCTCAATCAAGCAAGACAAAAAAAGTATACAGTGATCGAGAACTGTCTTTTAACCTGAACAGTGAGCTACCTACCTGGTTTATTTTTTATAAATGCGGTTTAGAAATCATTCTTAATGAGGAAAGGAAACGAGACCCAATTTGATTATAAAGAGTATTTTGAGGAGTTGAGATGCTGACGTACTGTTGACAAACGGCAATTGGGTAGTTAAGGAAACGACGACGGTGAAACCGTGGACAACTTCAGTTAAAAAATGAACTTATATTTTACCTACGAATCTCGTGATACCCTAAATATGGAACACAGCGTTAAATTAGAAATTTAAAAAATAAGCCGTCTTCGTTCACGTCCTCTAGACCTTTGGCGTAGTGAAGTTCCCGTTGCCGTTGCTGTCATGGTTTTATTTAAACTCCCTATCGCCCGCAAGAATAAATAAAAAGCCTTAGGCGTTTATTCATTCTATAAGGGAAAGACAAACCAATGTTACGGAAGAGAACATGAATCAGCCAAAACTTATTGGGCTGTTCGTACAATACAATACAATACAATACAAAGACTTTATTTAAAGACGATAACTGTTAAAGCGACTACACGCTTGTGGGGTCGTCTCGTGAAACAAAAAACTCTTGTATTTAAAAGCGAACACCAGTAAATGTTACCAGTAGATGTTAAGTCTAGCCTTTTATTCTACGTTGCTAACTCACCGAATAACAGGTAAGTCCACCGATGAAAGGTCTTCAGTACTAAACAGCAACATGAAGTTGCCGTCGACTTGTTCCTGCGCAAGCACTGGTGGACTGTTATGGCGCCCTCGCTCACAACTGCAGATGGACAAGGAATCAGATTTCAGATTGGCCGCCAATCCTGATTTTCTCGATTAGATTAGTTTAAAACTTTCCACAAAAATCATAAATCTTCATGACGATAAAACGGTGGCGGCGAAGATATTCTCTAAGTTTAAATAGGGAGCTTAAGCAACCACGACGACGAACGGAGGACGACGATCGGAAGTAGCGTGAACGTCACTGCGCAAGCGCCAACAAGAATGCCGTAGTCGTCTTGTCGTCGACGACTTGAGAAGCACCTGCTTTACGTCGTCGTGAACTTCCGAACTTCAAAGCAGTTTTTCTCATCGAAAGGTGCGGGTTTATTGTCGTGTTTTTGGCAGTCTATGGCCGGTTGGAGTTTGTATTCGCTTCTTCGGTTGAGTTAAACCTCCCTGTTCGGTTTTCTTAACAGTTAAAATTCTAAAACCCACTAACTCATTTTCCTCTTCACGCCATTTTAGTGTTCCACAACAACGGCAGAATGTTTCATTGTTCCCACATTCTCTTCCAAATTTATGACAGAACATGTTCTATCCTCGTTCCTTCGCCATTTTGTATGCGGGATATGGCAAGAAAACGCCAGTGTAACGTTGGGTGACTGCTGGCGCAAATAGCACGTGACAAAATAAAGATATTTTTTTTGGATTTGCAAAATAATTTCGGATTTTGAAAAAAATTTTTTGGATTTCAAAATATTTTTTGGATTCGCAAAATATTTTCGGATTTTGAAAAAATTTTTTTGGATTCCAAAATATTTTTTTGGATTCGCAAAATATTTTCGGATTTTGAAAAAAATATTTTTTAAATATTTTTTTGATTTGCAAAATACCTTTGGATTAGTCAAACTTTTCGACAGTGAGTTTAAAATAAATATCGCGATTTGAAATATTTTTCGGGATTTGAAAAATATTTTTGGATTGTCCCTTTTCGGCTTCCGTATTTTCGGCTTCCGTAATGCAGGGCTCGAAATTAAAAAAAAATTCCAAGTCGCCTTTTGGCGACTATCAGAGAAAAAATGGTCGCCAAGTGCAAAAATGCAGTGGCCAGATAGTACAAGAACAGAAATCAGATTAGAGCATTATTCAGTTGGCGTTGTTGTTCGGCTTCTGGTGGATTGTGGCTGCGATTGTGGGGTAGACCGAAATACTCGATCTTGATTGACTTAAAACATGAAAACACAAAAGAAGAAACTCCGAAAGACTTTTGCATGACAATCTTACCTTAAGCAGTAAGCGAAAAAAGTAATAAGAACAT